TTTATTTAAATTATCTATTTAAATAAATGTAGTTTTTCCAGTAATCGATAATTACTATGAAATAATAGAACTAATAGCAGGCAATGACATTGAATGCATCGTATTTTGTAGCATCGGATACTTGTAAAATTATGTATGTATTGGTAGTTATAGTATAATGACAGTTTCAATCGAGGAGTTTTCTTTAATCGTTCTCTTGTTCTGGAAATGTTTTTTAAAATATTAATTATAGATTTTGAAGAAACCACTAACTTTTTCCTATTTATTGTCTATTTATTACACATGAAAGCTTAGATAATCTAGCACTTCTGATTTTATCAAATTCTATAAAAAGTCTAATTTTTATGATTTTCTTATATTATGACAGATTTTAAACCTAAACTCGGTATGCCACTGTACCAGGGACCATTGTGTTTACTTTATATCATTTTTGTTTATGAACATACAATAAGTTGAGGTTACATGTTTACACTGTGTACTGAAATAGGGAATGCGGTTTCCCCTTTATTTATTACTCTGAGTTTTATACCAGGCAATTGACGACGTATTACACAGGAGCCGTCGTAATCTGTTATACTGATCAAGCTCTGGTCTTCATACAGATTGCGTCTTATAAAAACATCGTAGTCGAGGCACCCATCTGGTACAAAAACATATGTAACGACGGTGTCAATAATCGTTATCTTGTTCAACATAATACTGCAAGGAGACACTCGATCTTCGAATAAATGTAAAAATTTATCTGAAATTAGCGAAAGGTCTGCGCCTGTATCGATCAAGGCCCAAAATGGGCTCCTTCTGTTGCTCCTCTTCGTTTTCCTGCACTACAATAATTAATACTTCGACGTTTTTCTATAGCTGCTTTAGTATAGCAGTTCGAGACATCATGACCCCGCTTAGTACAAAATGTGAAAATTTCACTTTGATTTGGGGGCATGGTAAGAGACGAGGACTCAGCTTGATTAATTGAAGTTGAAGTTGCAGTTTCAGGGAGCAATCTGCGTCTTTTAGCCCGGCAATTTGCTTTAACATGTCCCATTTTACCGCACTGATAACATTTTTTTAAAGCCTTTTCATGTCCTTCACTAGCTGGATAGCTTCGTTTAGAAACTAACGGATCCCCGGACTTTTTTCGAAACTCCTTATCATTAGATGGTGGTTTCACATATGACGACAAAAATACCAAGAGCTCGGTAATCGTATAACAATTAGCATTCATTATGGCATTGCGTACATCTAGTTCAGAAATACCATTTCAGACCAATTCAAGGAGGCGTCCCAAATTTCTTCTAGACGGAAATGATTCCAGAAAGTCTTTACGGAAGGTAACCCAGTTTCTATTTTCAGGATTCCAACGGTCGAACCATCTTTTCACGTTATTTGCTAAGAATCGACCTACTCTCGCCAACATTTGCACATCAGACCAGCCTACCTCAATTTTTATTTGTTCAACTTGATTCACCCATTTGCTGGATTCATTTTCCACTGGACGAAAATAAGGTAGATCAATCTGTTCAATAGATCGCTGTGACTTCAGTACCCTCACTAGTTCAGTTAATAACGCTTGGGTGGGGTCACTAACATTTTCACTATTTCCAGAAGCCATACTTGTTCGGCACACAATGCAGTTTCACAGTCCACAAATACCTTTTGAGTTCAATCCCACTTCTGATGATAGGAAGCACAGTAATTTAAACACTTTATCAATTGCTACAGTTTATTTCTAAAGTTAACATACAACGGGTAATTAAACTTAATACACCAAGAGCAGCCTTTCACCCGGCACCGAAAATATAACTGACGACTTCCCGATTGATTTTTCGGAACCTCCGTAATCATTTTTAATTTATTCTTGCAAAACAATATTACAGATGTTTTATTACTCTCTGTCGTCACATATTCTCACTGATCGGCAGCGGCTCTCGCAAGAAAATGTTACATAATAATAAAAAACTAATAAAGAAACAACCCATATCTAACAATATCTAACAATATGCAACTTGTTTTTATATTGCTTATTTTGTTGTATTGCCTACATTATTCCAATGTTTTGTGATAACACAAACAGCGTAAATCAGCAAACTGATATTAATTTTCATAAAATATAATAGGATGTAGAAAAGGCAACATTTCAAATATTCTATGAAATAAAATTTAAAATTGTGTTTACTTGTTTCATAAACATATTATGTAGGTTTTAATGAATAAATGTTGTTCTCTACAATGGTCGCTTTTTTAAGTTAGACCAGTTAAATTTAAAACAAGTTGGAGGGTGACCCAAAAATGTACCGAATCTAGGACAAAACTTTTTCCGATTTTTTATTTAGAATACCTTTAAATATTACAATATAAAAATAATATAAATATTACAGTGAGGATTTTTACTATCGATTCGGAATTTAAATTGTTATGAAAAGTATTAAATATGAAAGGTAGGTATGTACTTGCAAAGCAATTCACAATTTACGTTTTAATTAATAATTCTGGCTATAGTTTTGTTGTCTTCTGGTAGGAAGTACCTATTCACAGATTAAAATACCTAGTAAACAAACTAGTGGTACCTATTTTTTTAAAAACATACCATTTTGTTACCTTTTTTAATAAACTTCATATTCAACCACTTCTTGAGGTTCCAATATTTTTATTAAATAAAATTTTCAAGAAAATTAAATATGAAGGTACTTTTCTTAATGAAATGTTACATTGTTTAAATTTTTTGTCACAAATATGAGCACTACAAATGGCATCTATGATATGCGACACTTGTGTCAAAAATTATTTACCTATCTGGAGAAATCAGTAATAAGAGAGCAGTACCCATCTAAGGATACGCGGTATATTTTTTGGTTAGCCATATTTATTTACCGGTAGGTACGTTGACAGCAATCTTTATTGAAAGTATTTAATCTTCTGGGTTATTGGTCAAAGTTAATAATTTGTTTATAAAACTATGTTTCCTTTCGTTTCGGGTTTTATCCCATCTTCAGATAACAACATCACAGCTCATACAGCTCCCCAACTGTCTTGGCGGGAACGGTTAGCGTCGATTCCGCCGCGCAGCGTTTATGCCCCGCCTTCCAGCGGAAAAGACGGCTTTGGCGTTCGTTCAGGCGAGTAGCGACAACGGGTAGTAAGAATTGCAATCATAGGCGTGGGTATAATTTCGTTGATTTATTTTTATTTTATATAATAATGAAAATGAAGATACCTTATTTGGACAATTGCAAATGCTAAACGATAACTTTGTTGAGCTCATTTGTAACACTGAAAAGATATTTCAAGATAATTTTGAACAATTATCCACAAAAAATAACATTTGTAGCACATTTCTTGAATTAATTAAAAGACTACCTTTTAGTCATCCGTGTCATTCTTTTCCGAAATAATTTGTACTTAGGTTATATTTAAGGGTTAGAATTTATTATACGTTATAAACTATAAACCAAAATTTTAGGAATATTCAAAAAATAAACTTATAATAATGGAGAAATCTGTAATGACTATATTTTTAATACTATATATTATGTTATTATATTTTTTTGTATATTATATTGTAGGTATGATTTATAATATGTATATTAGTCCAGGCTGTATTGTTGCTCCCGCTAGGAACATGATTCTCATTCGATTTTTTTTTCATAATCTTACTAAAAAAATGACCCTTGAATCATATCCGCATGTTGCCAGACGTTACTAATGGTCAAAAATTGTTTAAACAATTTTTTTTAAACAAATTCGTAATTTTCGATTTTTTCGCTCTAAATACATTTTTATAGGCTTTTTGGGGTATCCTGAACAAAAATGTTCATATGCAACTTTTCTCTAAAATCTTCTATTTTCGAGATATTAACGATTTTTTGTTCGAAAAAAACGCGATTTTAACCATTTTCTTCTCTAAGGATTACGTCAGTAAACAGGAGCTTACAATAAGGAATTTTAATTACTCTTCAAGTTTTCTTTTAATAATCCGTATTAACTCCAAGTACAAAACCTATTACATATTTAAAATACCCATTTTCTATCGTATTATTAAAATTACCTACTACGGTACTGTCAGGTAGAAACTAAATATTTTATTTCAATAATAAAAATTCTTTTAATCCAGCCCCGACTATTCCGCTTAATCTGAGAGAGTTAGCAGGATTCCGTCCCGCTTGGTTCTCGACCGCCACATCAAAGGCGCCGACACGGACTCTTCCAGCTGTATTAAGCTGTGACAACATCACAAAACATGGATAAAAAATGTTTTCTTATGCAATTAATTAAAATATTGGTAAACAATATTGTTTAAAATCTTTATCTTTAAACATATTATGCAGAACCTAATACTATTAAAATTTTTCTATTATATTGTCAAACAATTTTTAGAAATTAACAAGTTAAGTAACTTATTTAAAGATAAAGATTTTAAACAATATTGTTGACCAATATTTTAATTAACTGCATAAGAAAAAAATTTTATCCATGTTTTGTGATGTTGTTATCTGAAGATGGGATAAAACCCGAAACGATCGTAATAAACAATTGTTAAAAGGAAAAATAGTTTTATAAACAAATTATTTACTTTGACCAATAACCCAGAAGATTAATAACTTTCAAGAATTAATTATATGGTCAGGAAATTATATATTAAAGTGCAATCTTTTATATGATAAAATACAGAATACCCAATAAAAGATTCGCTACATTGTTACACGTCCTGTATAATGATTTTTTTTAACCAAATTGGAAGTCTACGCACAAATCTAGAAACATTAATATCAAGCTTTTGAATTCTCCCATTCCAAGGTGAATTCATATAAAATAAATAATTAATAAGGTAAAATCGTATTTTTAATTCTAACTTGATTTATTTTTTTAAATGCATTAAATGTATATGTATACCTAGACCTAGTTATTACTTGGCAACACTGCCACACGTAGAAACCGCTAGAATGCGCACCTATTACCAACTAGAAGAGTTACCACGCCAAATTTTATTATTGGATGGCACTGATGGCAGCTCAGAAGAGCCTGCATCCTTTTTGGGTTGCCAGTTTCCAGCATTAGCTATATTGCCTGTGTCAACACTAAGTTCGTAAAATTAATAATTTTTGTGCAATCTTTAAAATTTACGTTCCTTTACAGAATTTTGTAGCTGCGGGACCCAAAATTTATATTTGTTCAGGGCCTCGTGAAAGTATAACATTCCACTGTTGTTTACCGTTATTAAACTGAGTACCTGTCAAATTTTTCATTAAGAAGTAATGAGAATATTTTCTCAAATTATATAAGGTGGAAGTACAAGTGTAGTAACTTTTTTATTTAGTTATATGTCGAATATGTTTAGCTAACGCGTTACGATTAAGCTCACTACCCCAAGTGGGGTAAAATAAATCACGTTCAACATCCAAACTTTTTTCAAAGTTATTACTTAAACCAAATGCTAGAACTCTTTTGTAATTGTGAATAATTGTACAGTCATGAACTATGAACTGTTTGATAAAATTTAAAGCTTCCTCCATCTTACTTGAAGTATTAACTATTTTATCAGCTAGACTTATGGAAATACATTCTTCAGCACTGTAAACTTTTGACGTTAAAAGCATTTCCATTGCTTTTCTTTCACCGATAAGCTGGACAAGCCTAAAAAAATAAAGCAGAATGAGCAAGCAAATCTATTAAGCTAGTTCAAATATTTTTTTTTCTAGAAGTTAAATAACGTTCTTCGATACCAAAAATCTAGGAAGCCACTACTCTTTGGGCTAGTAATAATTATTATCTAAAATGAAAATAAAATAAATGTTTCAATATTATTATAAAAAACTCATACCTGGCAGTGAAATTATTAAATATTGCATTTTTCTTGGTCTAACACCATTGGCAAAGACAAACGTAAAAAATAGATCAATATTTTTGCAATTTACTTCGGAGTTTTTTCAAAAATACAAGATATTTCTTCGAAGATTTCATTATTTAACAATGTTCACTATGTCAGGAACGTGTTTTTATGTTAATAACATTTAAACATATTTTTAATTTGAATTTTAGATAATTAGTAAATACTAGGTACGTATTTACTAGATAATTTTAGTATAATTCAAGGCTAGTTGGGGCATGCAGTACTAGCAGTAGTTGTTTCCCCCCTATATGAACAGTTAGGAATCTTGTCTGTGAGGTAACCTCTATTTTGCATACCCAAGTGTTTGGTATCGAAGAAATTTGACAGGATTTTTTAGAAAAAAAAATATACTGCACTAATGGGAGTTAATAGTAAACACATATTTTTAAAAAGCAAATATAGTTTTGTCATGTGCTGTGTTATGTTATTATTGATAAAATGTTTTTTTTTTCTTCAACTAGGTAAACCTCGAATAAAAAAATATTAAAACCTTGTTTCACAGAGTTGCATTATGAAAGTTTTAATTTCACAGTTACATGTGCAGGATGAACCAAATTCGACATTCTTTGGGTTTTTTCCTATTTCCCGAAGAGATACCTAGTTTAGACATCAAGGGCATTTTCTGCTCTGTAATTCTTGGTTCTATAACTTATTTTTGTGAAAATATATCATTTTTGGAAAGAAGACTTTTGCACAGTTTTTTTACATAGTCCGCGAAATTTTCCTATAAACACCAAAAATCCATTTTTTTTTGTAAATCAATTGTTTTTTATAGAATTCAGTTTATACCTAATGCAATTTGTAGATGTCATCGGTACATCAAATCAAACATATGTACAGGGTGTCTCATTTTTAATCTATGATACTTCGGGAGCAGATAGTACAACAAAAAATAATGGTACTTTGTCATATAAACTTATTTCGAAATCTCAACCGTTTTCGAGATACAGGGTGTTAATAACTAAGAAAAAATCCATTTACTATAAATATCTTCTGAAATAATAGAGGTATTTGACCCAAATCAAGTTTCCATAAAATGTTGTAATACTAAGGCTTTTGAGCCACCAGTGGCAGAGATTGGTACTCATTCGATTATTTTATAAAAAAAATAGTACGGTCCTGTGCAAAATAATAATTGATTACATTTTGTCGATATCTGTCTCTGTTTTACAGCAAATTGGATTTCTCTTTTTCCTTTCAAATTAGCCAGATACTGTGCGTTAATGAATTTTTTTAATTCCAGAATTATTTCGGCTAGTTTCAACTAATTGAATTAAAAAATAAAGTAGCATTCTACGAATCAATAATATTATTATTTGATTATTACAAGAACTTCAACAGAGTCAAGAGTTTCCATGCTTTTTAGATTTCTCAAACATTGCCAGTAATTTTTTTGCGTAAATAACACCGTTTCAGTAAATAAAATTTAAAGCAAAAATAAATGTATGACAACTTACAAAATATGAAATCACGAAAATGTAACTAAAAGGTTAATAATAAAATAATTCAATGCTAAAAATTAAATTAACAACAGATTAATTAACTAATAAATAATTATTGCTGCTACTAACAGTAATGAGTACATTTTATAATAGGTGTTCAAAATGGGCACCATTTGCCCCAATACATGCCCTGGACGGTCTTAAAATATTTAATTGTTTGCGCTGGAAGTGAACCCTGTCTTCTTTTAATTGATCACATGCAGTTGTTATACGACGTATTAATTGTTCATCTGAATTTATTTGGACCTCATACACATAATTTTTAATTATGCTCCATATGGAGAAGTCCCTATTTGCCAATCCATCTGTTAGGGTAGTTTTCAACTACCCTACCAAATGAGCAGGAGCCCCATTTAATTGCAACCACATATTCCTCCTTAAAGCTAAAGGTCCAGCATCTTGCATAAATTGAAAAAAGCCTAATAAGTTGACTTTTACTTATTAAAGATTCTCTTGAAGTTCTTGTAGTAATCAAATAATAATATTGATTCGAATAATGTAGTAAAAAGGAAAATCTATGAACAGAGGCGGCCTTAGGGGGTGGCAAGCAGGGCAATCGCCCGGCGCCTCGCTCTTGCAGGGGCCTCGCGCAACAACCCGAGTAAAAAAAGTTTATATTGAAAACTTTATTTTATCCTTAGCTATTAGTTATAGAGGTATAAGACAATAAAATAAAGTTGGTTAATTCATAGTAAATATATTAACACTTAGCTAGTAATAGGTGGCTAAATAAAATTTCTCATAAATAAATCTATTTAATGATCGATATCAAAACCAATTAATTTATCAGTGATTTGTTGACTGTAAAACATAATTGAAAAATATGTTTGAATATTGTACCTTATTTTATCATTATTAAAAATGTGTCGTCTTTGTATTTGTTAACTTATCTCTTAAAATAATATTTGAAAACTCAAAATTCACAACTTTTGCATTTCTCCTAAATCATCAGAAATATCTACATTCGATTTACAATCAACCTACAAAATCGGTGACTACTAGGACGTTATTAAGTATTCCTATATGGGTGGCAAGATAATGTAGACGTTTAAAAAATATGTTTTTGAATCCAAACCGCTCTTTTAATCAAAATTCTACGAGAGACCCAAAAACTTCCAAATGGTATCATCTTTCAAATAAAAAATAATCGTCATTATTGCCCAAAATAGGATAAAAAAAAACTCTGTATAACACCAAAATGTGTATATTGAAAGCAAAAGTCCACACTCCAAAAATAATCAAAATCGAATATGTATTCGAGTTATTTACAAAATTCAAAAAAATTTCACGTACTTTGAGGCCAAACGATGCGATTTCGGATATAGGTGAATTAGCCTAAATCTGTATATTTTGAGTACACGAATCTGTGGTCTTCCGTTCTATTCTCTTGATTTTTATGTGTGTATTGGTAACGTTGCGCCACAGGCGCTATTTAATTTTTTTTTACTTAATATTGGTAGTCGATTTGGTTATTTCCATTTTTTATTTTTTTTACTATACTAACTCTAACAATTATTTCTTTTCCACATAACGCCCGCGCATTGAAGGTTGCAAAATTCTAACTTAAGTCGCGTCCGAATCCACGTGCCTACTCTCTTATTTCCGAGGTCAGGCGGAAAGTAGAGAATTTTTCAAAAATTCTAGTGGCAGCAGTATAACTACCAGATAACTTTACTTCCTTTAAGGGGCTGTAACGAATACACGTGGTGTATTACAGCGCACAGTATCTGGCTAATATGAAAGAAAAAAGAGAAATCCAATTTGCCGTAAAACGGAGACAGATATCAACAGAATGTAAGAGCCATTTTTTTGTTGCGTTTGGCATGCCTTTCAGAAAATATGATCAATTATTATTTTGCATAGGACGGTACTATTTTTTTTTATAAAATAGTCGAATGAGTTTCCCATATCTCCGCCACTGGTTGCGTAAAAGTCTTGGTGTTACAGGATTTTATGGAAACTTGGCCCAATATAAATTACTTCAAATTTAGTTCAAATACCTCTATTATTTCAGATGATATTTACAATAAATGATTTTTTTTTAATTATTAACACTGTATCTCGAAATCGGTTGATATTTCGAAATAAGTTTGACATACATACATATGACGAAGTACCATTATTTTTCGTTGTATTATCTGGTCCCGAAGTCTCACAGATTAAAACTGAGACACCCTGTATATCATATAAACAGTTAAATAGGTAAAAAATTGTTTAGCAATTATTCTCCGAAGAAAATTCTTTGTGTAAATATATGATATATAATTTGAAAGTAAGATTTACGCATATTTCAAAAATATATAGTGTGAGCGAAAAACAGACAGTTATAGAAAAATATCGCGTATGCCACTAGATGCTACGTAAAACGATATATAAAAATCCTACTTACAAAAATCAAATATGTATTTTCTCAAACAAAATAGTGATAGGTCATCATAGAATATAGCCAAAATTAAAAAACGCCCTATATCTCTGAAATGTATCAAGATGTCGAGATAATGTGTTCACCATTAAACTTTTCAGAAATATGAGAAATCCTTCAAAAGTGTGGAATTTAGCCCATACTGTACATTCTTGAAATGACAAGTTAACAAGTACAAGTCTTTTATGAATATTTTTAACGGTCATGGCAAAATAATTATATATTTAATAAAAGAGTTACAAATTGGGAAAGTTGAAGAAAACATCATGCTGTTTTAATGGATCAGTCAGATAATATTGAGCCTCTGATGACTGAAATGGAGCGGTCAATCATTTTAAGAAAAATGTGGCAATTAGTAAATTTTATAAATGTTACTAAATGTAATAACTGTACAATTCATATAAATATTCATAATAATTAATAAAATGAAATGTTAATCAAATATTTATATTTATTTATTTATACTCGAAATCTTTTTTCTCTAGGGAGGTAAGTTACCTCACTTACCTCCCGTTGTCCATAGCAACTTCCACTTCTATATCTACTAAATATAAGATATGGGACAAGTTAAAAAGATCACCTCGTCGTTCCTCCAAATGCAGTTATAAGTCCCATGTTTCCTTGAACAAACCCTATTTGAGCATTATCTGCTACTAAAATATAATCAGAGAAAATAGATATCTCTGCCCCACCTCCTAACGTGGGTCCATGCAGAAGAGAAACAGTAATTAGAGGAAGTCCCCTAAATCTTTTAAGGATGTCCTGCATAATGCAACTCATATAATATCCTTCTTTTGGCGTTCCAGCGGATCTTGCGAAATCCAAATCTCCTCCGGAACAAAAGTTTGATCCTAAACCGCAGAGTAAGACAGATTTTCCTTCTTTCCATTCTTCCAATTCATTTAGACATCTTCGAAAATCTACCATCATTTTTCCTAAAATCGTTAATTAAAGTTAAATTTATACGTCAATACCTTTCAAATAAATCTCATATACTCGACTGCAAAAATATTAATATATTAAGCATCTTAGATTGGTTAAACAATAACCTCTGTAGAAAAGTATTTCAAACAATAGGCATTACTTACATAGTGTAGATAACTATTATTTATAAAATTTATTAAATTACCACTAATAGCATTTCTTTTTCGGGGGTGGTTCAAATAAATTATAGCTATTCCTTCTTCAAAATATTCCTTTGAAAGAAATATTTCACCTCCATCATATTTTAATAAATTTGATTCCATAACTCCAAAATCTACATCCTTAATAAATTCAGCCATGATTCGGAAACTAAAACAAACATAATAATGTTATTATACATGTTACGTCTGTCATGACGATTTTTATTAAAAAAAAATTTCTTCACAATAATGAGAAGATCAACGCCGAGAGTTCTCCGTTCCATCGAACGATGATTACAACGTTTGCCATTACTGTCATTCCTTCCCCCGAGGTCGCGGACAAGAGCCAAGAGCGAAAGATTTTTCGACACACTATCGGAATCCACCCCGACGGTGATCGAACGTCACCTCTGGGTTTCTGTAATTATTTAACCAGGACATATTCGCATTGGAACCGCTGCATTTTCTGTATTGCACTAGTATATTAAAGCGTTAATAAAATCACATATCTGACATCTATACAGGGTGAACTTAAAAAATCGGTACACAAACTGTCTCATAAGTGTTACTTTTCTAAGGTAAGTGTCAATATCGCAGTGTCTTTTAGGACTACCCAATAACTACAAATTAGAGCATGTAACATCAACCTACAGCATTTTGAGCTCACAATGGCGAAGGAACGCAAATCAGCTTCTTTCGTTGACGACGTCAAGAATGAAATATATGAGATGCCCGGGAACCACTTCACCAGCGAGCAGGAACCTAACATCCTAGCACCGAGGGTGAAAACGGACACAGGCCGGTAAGATCTTTTCGAACCCTTTATGAGAGTCTACGACCCTCTTATGATGTCAAGGGGAGATGAAATAGGTCAAATCCACCGAGAGCTAACCAAACCGAGCAATATCCACGTCTTGGCGCTCAACGTGAGGCCATGAGAGAAGAACGACAACCAACACAGTTCAATCCACAACATGACGCACTTCGTGTTGCCAAATGAACAAGAGACCTATTTAAAAACGGAGAAGACCTTTACAATACAATGCTGCTTGCATCTCTTACTTATTAAAACTGTAACTCTAAAATGTACACTCACTCATTTCATTAAAACTTGTCATATCCGTATTTAGATATATTCATTCACTCGTTATAGAATAGTACATTGTGTAACGAGTGAGGAAAAGTTGCCAATAGCGCAATAGCAGAGTTGACGCACGAGCGAAGCGAGTGTGGAAAGCGCCCAAAAACTTTTCCGAACGAGTTGCACATACTATTTTCTATCACAAGTGCGAGTCGTTATGGGACCTATAGAGTAGGGGGTTATGTGTACGTAAAGTGCCGTTGTACATACTATATGGCACTTTCCGTGCACATAACCCCTCCCCCCCTTCGCTATAGGTCCCATAGCGAGCGCGCGTGATAGAATATTAATAATAAACATAAACATATATACTTCTACAGTCTTTTTCTAATAAACTTATTTAGAAATCCATACATTAATTAATTGATAGGTTACGTTGCAAAATTGAGGTAATTGCGATTATGTTATAATTTTTCCGTCAACGACAATTCTGATTATTATTAGATACTATGTGCCTAAATGTTTATTACAACGTAAAAAATCACTGTGTTTAAAATTATTCAACAACTATTTTTACTTTTACTTACATTTAATTTAAGAAATGTTTAACACGATACTAAAAGACACAAACTGTGAGAATTTACTAATACATAGATGTTTATACATCATACTCCAAATTCAAAGGTCAACATTATACATTTACATCGACCTTGAAGATAGCATAACACAAAGTGAGCAAAAACATTTTAATTAATAATTAATTTAATTAATATAATAATAATTACTCAGTAAAATAAGAGGCTCGAATTAGTTAGGTACCTTAACCCTTTGTTTATTAATAAATGCAATTTAACGTTTTACATACCTATTTTATATTGCTATGGGAGTAAATGTTTTACGAAAATTTACATATAGGTACATGCATAATATATGTGTATTTAGTGTTTAAAGTGTTTAAAATGTGACTTAAATGCCGTGGCGCATCTAGCATGGGTTAAGTGTGTTGCCCACTGGCCGACACAGCTGAACTTCGC